GGACCATCCCTTTCTTAGGTGGTGGCCCGATGGTAACGTCACCAAATTATCACCTCGGGGGATGTGTTCGAATGCCACCACCACCGCCTGACTTTCCCCATTGTGTGTTCAATGGCAGCCCTTTGATTAGCCGCTTCCCCCTTCCTGAAAATTGTATCACTGTATATTCAATAAAAGGAAGTAAAATGAAAATGAAAAAAATCAATAAAGCCCTTCGTCTTTGCACTGACGACAAGATATCAAACGTGATCAGCCGGTTGCATAACACATTGACAAGAAACGGATATCCCGAGGAATTTATTGACAGGCCCAGTAGATTGATGTAGTGACCGTTGCCCCTTCATATGTGTTTATTTTGTAACCCATTTCTTAACCCTATATAAAACAATACATTTTTCTGCAGTAAGCACCGGTTGAGATGTGATGAAATCATTCTGGACATAAATGTGGAATGTTGCTATACTGGCTTCTCTTTTCAAAGTTACCACGGGAAAGCTTGCTTCACTTCATACAGCTGTTCTGCTATAGAACTAGATCATGTTCTGATGGTGCATTTAACTTTCCAATCGACCCATGTCGTAAAGAACTCTTGGTTGGTTGTTAGAAACGTTTAGTGGCACACAGCTGGCGTAACAGCTGGATCGAACGAGAGTTTTGAACGTTTAAAATTATCACTAATCACAGCTTTTTCTTTGTACTGTTGAACTTAACTCCGTAACTAAGATGCACAATCAAAACCAAAAGGTCTTATTGTATGGGTCTGACAAACAATCGGAAATCGCGATTACTCCAAATTTTTCTCGTGATCCATAATAAGACGGCTTGCCAGAAAACAAAAACCGAATTAGTAAAAGAATCTATAAAGTTACTCCTAGTATCGCTAAGTCGCTTTGAAAGATATGAGCCAATAGGTATGACCCATACCCCGATTGTATGCACTGCAAAAAATCCACAAACATGTAGTGCTCCTCCGCTATCTCGTTTCTGTTACCAATTTGGTCTACTATATGACAGCCATGTGAACCGGCCGTCACCAAATAGATTTTCAGGAGGTGCGACGTTTGCCGCAATACACACAAATCATTTCTCAAGAGGCATTTTACCTCCTTTGTGAAATCCCCAGGTTGGAGTGGTCCGGTTGCACTCTTGAGTTTAGTCCAATGGAGAACATTGTTTACCGGGACTTACAACACAAATCCAAGGCTGTTTTGATTAAACTAAATTTACAACGCTAACAACAACCGAGTCAGCTTCTTTATCAAGTAGCCCAGCCCACTCCGGTCTGGCGTCAGAAAACAATGAGTAGAAGATTTGGAAGTGTATGACGTCACATCTTTCTTATCTACTGGTTTATCGGGAATGACTGCACAAAAAACAAAATACACAACCTCAATCGGTTTTACTCGAACTCTCACTTTGTATCCCGCGGTGTTTTCCTTTGTAATCACTTGTAATCACTATTTTATAACTACGTACGTTTTCAATGTATAACTTAATCAAAGCTTACATTTCCTTAGAATTATTTTCACAATAGCGGAATAAATTGCTTTCTTCACTTGAATTGACCTTTATGGATTGATGAAGTCCTAACTGATGATAAGAATGTCAGGACAGAATGGTCAAGGCAACGGAATTATCGTCCCGTTGGATGCGTGTTCGAATCCGAAAAACACAGCCTGAGTTTGCATGACAGCCCTTTGATTGATCACTGCCCAATTCCTGAAAACTATATCATCATCATATAATATTATTAATTCATTACTACTATATCATATATGTATACAATAAAAGAAAGCATAAGTGAAAAGAAAGAAAGAAAGGATGAATAAAGAGGAGGGATTCACGAATGTCGCAGTATTTACAAAGTTGATTACGCCGATTTAGACTCAACAAAACTCTGTGATGTTTTTACTGAGGTTATTGTTCCATACTAACGCGCAATGTATTCAATGGTGTTGACATGACTTATCTTGTGACAGAAAATACCATGATGGCCAGGAGCTCTGGGACCACTTGTACACCGCTTTATTCTCGGTAATTTTCCAAATCAGAATGTCGCTCGTCATTCGCAATTTGGAGTGACGTCTTGCGTTTGCACTCAGCAGTTCGCGTCACATTCATCTGATTGTCCACACCTAACAGATGGAAATATCATTTAAAATACAATCAAAAGCATCCATTCGGACACCCTGCGGTCGCCCGCACCGTCCTCGCTTTCGCGACCATCACCACCATCAATATGGCCATGTGAAAAACGCCCGTTTGTTCACCAACTTCCTTGTTATTTATCTCTAGTGACATACAGGCACGTAACGCAACGGGTTCCGATAACTTAACATTTGAATGATTGGTTATTTTTCTCCATCTGAACTATCATCCAATCTTGTTGTGGTTTTCTTCCTACGTGGTATGTGATGGCTTTAAATCTGCAAAAAGAAGGCATTTTTTCCATGTTTTACTTTCATTTTATTTCTTTCATTTTATCTCTGGGGGCAGAGATTACACACCGGCTGACGATTTATGTTATCATCTGGTGCTTTCGATTTTGTTTCTTTCCTAGCGGAGTACAGTCAGAACGGGGTTTTGCACGCGGTAGGCAATCTAAGCCTCACACCTTGGGAGGTGTACGGTGTCTATGTGGAAGAACAAGATCAACAGAAGTTCACAGCGAAAATTCACTACCCATCCGGAATGTCTAAACTGGCGTTTCGAGGCAATCTGACCGGGAATTTCAAACTGCAAGTGAACAGTGCTGATAACAGTTGGCCTGTACCAATTCAGAGTAGGTTTATCATTCAGCATTTTGAAAAAAAAACAACGAAGATTTGCTGACAGATAGAATAAAAACGGATGTGTGTGAATACGTAGGGGTGTAAACCACCAATAGTTCAGTTTACTGCTACAGATCTATTCTAAGCAATAAATAGACATGTTTCGAGAGAGAGACTGAGAGAGAGAAACCGGCCTAAAACGCAGCCAGAAGAATGTCAAAAATTTGGAATGTGGTTCTGCTACACAACAACAAAATTCATAATAATGATTGGTGTTACAGTACAGATTTGGAGATGAGAGGGTAATGCCCATATGTTAACAACTTGCAAGAAAATCATGGCTTGAATTTGGATCTAACGAAGCAATTTCATTGCCTTGGTTGGTTTCCGGACATCACCCCCTCCTAGACTCTGAAAAAGGTGGACGTAAACTATATCTTAGTTGCGAGGGTTAATTTTATGGCTTTGAAGGAATTCTTTGACGTAATATGGATACAGCACCATGGAAACAATCAGTTTCCAACAGTGGCCTCGTCAATTTCTCAAGGAACTTCACTCAGAGTGCAGAAAAAACGAACTATTTCAGGAAATACACCCCTGTGTGGTTTCCTCCATGTGCTTTTGAAAAGGAATAATACCAGAACAGGTGAAGTAATACTATCGATTTTAAACCAATCATACACAACTATGGTGCAATATTAAATGTCACTTCTCCGGTACTTCTATCTGCATGATAAATTCTTTCATTACTGAAAACAGGATGTTGCACTTTTCAGTTCATGCTGTTTCTATTTCACCGAACCACTTTATTGCCTGATCTGACATTATAAAAAAATGTTAATGTCCACTTGTCTTCAGAGCTCATACATTATTATGTCTTAATCAAGCATATTGTCTATCGTGGTTAAAGTTGAGCAAACGTGCGCCCGCTTTACTGAAGTTTTCATGCTGGAACTGTAGTTCCTCTATCGTCATCAGTGCTTTTCAAAATAGTCACGTGATCCAACCTAGTGGTAACGTCATCAATAATCACCCCGGAGGGCGTGTGTTCGAATCCAACCACCACCGCTTGTCTTTTCCCATTACGATAGTCCTTTGATTGGACGCTTCCCTCTTCCTGAAAAATTGAACATTTATAAGTTCAATAAAAGGAAGTGAAAATAAAAAAATAAGTGAAAAAAATCTTCAAAGATTACATGCGTTCTGTTATGCTCAAGACCCCACACAGTGAACCAGGATAGTCTTTAAAATATGCTAAGCAATTAATCTTGCACAAGCTAACAGTAATTATTGCACGGTGGCTGTAACAGTGAGAAAAACGTATCAGCTGGCTCGTGGTGTTGGTTTACACCACTATAGCCAGTTGTTAATTTTTAGACCCCAAGATCTTTGGTTTACACCACGGCACTATGGATTAATTTTGTTGCTGCTCTGCTGTCGTCCAGGTAAATAGTAAGCTTGTCCTGTTTGAACTACTGTTTGTGTGTTGTTATTATTCCCATAGATTAGGTCGTCATTTTTCTAAATAGAACACTGGAACTTTGTGTCAAGGAAGGTCATTAGTTTTACAGTTCCTCACAATAACCCCCCGGCCCCCAACAAAATAACGAATTGCAACAATCGACAAAACTCGAAAATGGACTTGCAATTTCACTGACCATGACACTTTTGAAAGGTTAGTGAGTATGTATACAAGACTGCCTTTATTTGTTATTGTGGGCCAAAAGAGGATTAAACATTTGTTCACTGGTTGCGATAATGTCCACATAGGCTATATTGCTCACAATCATGACCCAAATATAGATCGCGTGCGCGCGAATATGTCACTCCTATCGCATTATGGAGAAATATTCAATTATAACAGTCTTCTTTTGGTGTGAAATGTTAGAATCTATATCCCGTCTGGGATTAGTTTAATTCATTTTGTCCCTAAATGCTTTTCAAGGTCACTTACTCTCTTCAAACGCAAACTCTTTCAAGTGAACGATGAAGGGTGAGCATTTATTTCGCGTTTAATTCACCAGAAATTCAAGAGGACTTGTTCCAATTATAAGGTCGACTTAATCGAATGGAATCGTACGTGAATGTTGTACGCATGTGTCACAAGACTTTCTCATTTTTACGCAGCAGTCTCCTCATGAAGCACTTAGGTTCATTGGTTAGATAACAATTGGTTGCGTATGGATCGAACTGAAACGAAGAACGATGATGCATCAAACGCTTCTATTGATTATTCCGACTTGTGTTGTAAGTCGTCATGAACGAACAATAATGATCTTTCACGTCTTTGAGATTTACCCTTTCTCTTGTTCGTCAAACAATTATTTATATTGCAAAAAATATTATAAAAAGTTTATCAAACCTAGAACTGTTTCATTGTATTCACCCGTCATTACGAAGGTGATTGTTCTGGATTTTGTTCTGTAAGTAAACTAACGTATAAAATCAACTCAGTCTGACGTTATAATCCATAACGAATAAGGTGTTTCATTGAAATTGGAAATCTCTTTTTTCCTGTTAAAAATTATTTTATTATTTTCTTCAAGTAGGCAGTATCACTGAGCAATGTCATTGAGCTAATCTGAAATTCAAATTCAATGTAATTCTAAAGTGATAACAACCACGAATGAAAGAACTAAAAAGTCTCGCCCACGATGGTGACAACACAGCGGAACCGGAGTCGTATTGCATGCTGTTTGCGGTCACCGAACTGACAAGCCATTGTGTGAGGACAGATATAACCGTTCGGATCACCTGTGCTGAGCTATTAAAAACAACTTTATCACACTTTGTATCTCCATAGCCACACGTACATACACACACAAGCCCTGACAGAGGAGGAGGTCGAGCATTTTACGTGGTGCTTTTTACTCAGTAGACGGTTGGAAATGTAGTCCAGAACTGCATAGACATGAAAGAACATCTGGGCTGACTGAGTCAAAATGGTTCCGGATCTATCTCAGATGCGATTCCCGCTCACTTGGTAGACACTGATCATCGCGTTGACCAAAGTGAACGATTCCGTTTTATTTTTCAGGTTCCCTCGAATAGGTTAAATGTGTTAGGTCGCGTACGTTGACCATAGTCAAACCCATCTGTATTAAACACTTGACCCCCCAACGATGTGCTCAGAACTTTGTTATCCATGCTCTTTAGCTCTCCCCGGTTCACGAACGTACCTCTCACCCTGTCCACGAACTCATTCAGACAATAATACCAATCCCTCGGAGTTGGATCACACAACGTACGTGACAACTGAAAATCCCGGAAGCACAGAACTGAGAATGTGATATGCAACATTCACACATTTTATTGTTAGTTTCCCAAACTGCAGGGTTTATCCTCTCACATAAATGGTAGTGATGTGATCATCAGCTATTGAAAACAATTCCTCGCCTTAAATCGAGTTCTGTATAAAACGTCGACCGCTCTAGGTGGATCCAAAACCCATTGCCAGACACATTTAGATGTAAATGAATTAATTACGTGATGTTCAATGTCAGCTAATTATTTCAGTTAAACCAATGTCGTACAAAACATAATGATGTTTTTATAATCAAATAAATTACTAAGTTGCCAAGAAGAATCAGGATTATTTGGTAATAATGCTCGAATCAGCATACCGGTTAATTCGTCACGGTGATGCCCACCCTCAGTCGTGTTTTCAAGCTTGCTCCGGAATGTTCAATCCCCGCGGTAGGTTGAAATAAATATGCCAGTTCTGACGTGGAAGACAAATTGGAATGCCAAAAAGTGTTCGCAACTTTTCTCTCTCGTTACCATCAAATTATCCGAATGAGCGAAGTACCGGTCATTAGCTGTTCCCATTTGTTTTAGATCACTCATGACAAGCTTAGAGAGATAAATGGGGGAAAGAGCAAGGATGGAAAGAGGAGAAGAATAAGAGTTATGAATAGAAGAACGCAACTGAAAATTCATCTTCGATTTAATGGTTCATGCTCTGTGATACCTTAGACCAGAAGGTTTGGTGCAATGAAATGCGGTACGCTTATAGTAAAATATGCGCGATCTGTGGGAAGACTGTCTTTTGTGACTGGAGTTTGTGCTCAGACAAGCTAATCTGACAAGATTTCCTTTCATAAACTCGGACAGGCAATCAAAGTGATGATTCAAATATACTTTACGGAAGTATCGAAACGGATAAACGGAGCTCCGCAGTAGTCTGTTACTCAAGTAATATAATTTAAAGTGTGGCGCTTGGTGTCGAACTTAAGTAGAATGTTTCGTTCGCTCCATAAAGCATCAAAATGACTCCTGCCCTGTAGTTTTACCATAAACATCTCATTCGAATTGTTGTTTGGTAGATTTGAAGCTTATATTTCGATTGTTAAAGGTTCGGTAGCCTCGGTGGAATTGGAATCCACGCATGGACGCCGCCAACGCTTTGTGTGCACAAGTTCTAACAGCTGAGCTACAAGGCCACACTGATAGCACTGATCTTTCCGCATTCGAATTTACCCATCCAAATTACAGAGGTATATGGCATCTGATAGTAACGACTCCGAAGAACAATCAGTGATGCTACCAACTCGCTCTGTTTGCAGTGAAATCAATACAATGGGCATGTGATTGTTTTAAGTAAATGTGGAACTTGTTCATAAAAGTATTCGACTGGCATGCTAACTTTTGTACAAGGCTCTCACACTTGTTTGTCTAAGAACTAAGTCATCAAAGAAGAGTTTTCAAAATGCATAGAAAAGTTACGTTTGAACCTTGGTATTGCATCACAGTTTTGTGTATCTGAGGCACCTGGAAACCTTATCAATGAATGTGTCTGTCTAATTCGCTTTCTTTCCTTCAAATTGGAAATTTAATCTCGTAGGCAGTTATTCCTGTACATGCTCACATACAATCTTATAGATTCAATAAGACCACACCCAGCTCATTTTTAAGTCTCAGCTGTATTGTTACATTACAGTTTTGTGCAGACACGGATTCGCGTCAAGTGAGGACATAATAATAAGTGGATGTCTCGATGTAGCACACTTCTGCATAACAGCCGAGTGGCATATAGCGTATTTTTCATGATTACAAATAATGCGAAACACGAACGTACTGTGAAGATCGAATCATCGATTCCGTCGATATTTATGTATTTTATCCAATGAAGGTGAATAATCTCTCTTTGCTTGAAGACTCCAATTGATCGACTTCAGTTCACTGGAAAAAAGCTCTTTAAGTTCAATATTAGCGGTATTTGAAATTTTATCGTAAGATTCAAGTATTCTTTTCAAGGAACCTGTTTAGTCTTGCTGAAAAGACTTTGGAATGTGCATCGTGGTCAATGCAACATTTTGTGTAGACAGTGGTTCCTCTGGAAACGTATCTTGGATGTCTTAAACCTTGTGTGGATGGTGGCAACCGGTGATCATTAGGTAACGTCCTTTTTTGTCCCAAAACGGAGATACTGTTTCATGTTTATCGTCGATTCTAGTTACGATTCTTAGTACACTCCACTTTTCATCACCCTTCCTTTTTGAGTGACTCAACGTGTGATCAACTCAAGACATACGCATTACCCCTCATTCCGTCGATTTCATCACGAAACGCAACTTCAACTGCGCGATAAGCAATCATTGATTTTACAGTTGGAGTGGAATACCGGTAGACGTAATGGACGACTGGAGCAAGGAGTTGTTCGTCTGAAGCAAACAAACGATCAAGGTCGTTCGGAACTCCGGTCCGCAATCACTTGGACCGAGGGGGATGCTGCAAGTCAATTGGATAAGCAGGTTCAGGGGTATTCTCGTCAACTTACTGTGTAAGTCAAACTTTTGTGACTCTGACTCTCATACGTTTACGGTAGGATTTCTGCTTACCACTCATTCTTATTTTCCCATCTCTCTTTTTTTAGCGAAACGAAAATTGAACCACAAGGAAGCAGTCCGTGAGTTGGAGTTTTGTTTACTCCATGAGTTTCTTCCTATTTACTTTTCAGTCATTGGATAGCCTAATTATGTGTTTCGTTTTCACGAAGAGAGGTACGAGCAGTCACGGTGGCCTGGAGCATACAGCATTACTAAATGTAGCGGATGGTAACAGGTTTGAAATATTCAACCCTTAGGTTCCTCTGATGGTGATCATAGTTGCTAGATTATTGCCGTTACGGCACTCCTATGAAACATTTATTGGTCCATTACATAATACTTTTCACCGCTAGCATGAAATAGTTTTGGCTGTTTCATGGAGCAATCGGCGGCGAGCAATCACGCGCCGAAACTCACCATCACAATGACCAGGACCTGGTGAGATCAAACCTAACATACTTACTTTTTTCATATGGGTTTCCAGGCAATGCCTTATAGGTTACAGTGCACTTCTTTCCTGTAAAACATCTATTCAGTTGCATTCAATAGAAGGAAATATAAATAATCATATTAACCTGGTAAATTTGTTCATCATGTACTACATTCAACCATACTGTTCATCCAAATGGGCGGCCAAAAGACAGCAACCAAAACCGGAGCACGAAAGTGCAAGGTTAGTGGTTGTACAAAGTGAACTGAAGTGAAAATCCAGTTATGTCCACAAAAACATTTGCTAATTTGCTAATTGGTTTGGAATATACATATTCCAAACTTAGCATCTGCTATATATCTATATACGTCAGAAGAAGCATGTGATGATAGGAACAAGCCATTTGGCGGTATTGTTTCTGTTGACATTTGCAATCACGCAAAATTGCACCATTTCCATTATAATTTTCCCAAATTAGGAAACGTGTGGTCAGACAACCGGTTGTCACTTCATTAGCATCGCTTTCAATCTGCTGCACATGATCGGCAGTTTTCGATTCGGACAAACCACATTTCGGGTATCAGCAACCAAAACCGGAGCACGAAAGTGCAAGGTTAGTGGTTGTACAAAGTGAACTGAAGTGAAAATCCAGTTATGTCCACAAAAACATTTGCTAATTTGCTAATTGGTTTGGAATATACATATTCCAAACTTAGCATCTGCTATATATCTATATACGTCAGAAGAAGCATGTGATGATAGGAACAAGCCATTTGGCGGTATTGTTTCTGTTGACATTTGCAATCACGCAAAATTGCACCATTTCCATTATAATTTTCCCAAATTAGGAAACGTGTGGTCAGACAACCGGTTGTCTGACCACACGTTTNCATTTCGGGTATCCAGTCTAGATTTGCGTCACTGAGAGCATGTGCGGGCTATGCAATAGTGAGAACTTGTATTTTGGCTACGAAACACATTAAACCACTCTGTTAAGAGAAGTGGAGATACTGGCAGTCCGAGGACAAACACAGTTAATACAAATGCACCCTATCTATAATAGGGCGCATCACCAGTCGGTTCAAGTTACAAAGTTGGACAGTTTCACAACATCAACCATTTTAAGTAAAAATTGTTTTGCAATATTTGCTCAAAATATCCATATACTTGATCTGACTCGCTCATAGAGGCAAGACTAGAGCTAGTGCGTCAAGACTAAAGGATTAGGGGTCGTGGCTAAATAATTTCCGGCAAAAGCTAAAGGCTTTTGGGTCGAATAACCACCCGTTTTGGTTATTGCTTGATGTTGAAAGGTGTGGCCAATTCATTTCCCTTGTGTAGCGACATGTATGGATCATCGGAGTCAATTGTATTCAAATTCATTTTCAAAATTACGAGTTCAGTTCCACTCATGGTAATTTCTGAAATATTTTTCAATTAGTCCGGTTAAAATATGAATTCCTATTGGTAGCGCAGATGACCAGATAGCATGGAATGGAGTAATAGTTTGTCTTAGCGAGTTGAACCTACTTAGCGATCGGAATTACTGTGTGCGGTAGATAACAAACTGCATTGCATAACTATTCGTGAGTATTGGTACTTGTCACAGACCCTCCAAGTTCAGATTTGTAATCACCAGCTATCGAGTCGATGTGCAACGCATTTTGTAAACAATGACGTTAAATTAGGTGATATTTTCCCTCACCACCAGACAGAACACGGTTTGAGTCTCAAAAGGGACGCACCACTTGAACAATGTCTTTTGGTGGTCATCATGCAACGTTTTTCATTTCATGGATGCACTCACTCTCACGGAATGATATTTGAATCCCGAACAAAAGATCTTGCGCTCAGCACCTGAAAAATTTCATTAGACAAACTGGAACACAACGTTGTCAGTTTTGTAGGAATTGTATTCGAAATTTTTCAATTTTTTGTCAGCCACCGATTCATGAAAATTCGCTGAGATCCTCATTCTGCCTGTTCGGTTGTTGCAGAACACAAGAGCCTTCCATGAGACTAAATTATATTGGTTTCCTATATAATAAGGACCTGATTGAAACGCTCAGAAAGTATCGTTTGCGTAATTCATACTTCCTGGATGACGCTGAGGGCTTATATCAGAAAAGGCTATGACGGTGAAAACAAGTGATCTCGACCACAAGATGATTTGTGGTGTCTTGTTCAGCTGTATGGTTGTGGCACAAGGTCAATTCAACTCTGTGTTGATGGTTAGTAACGGTGTTTGCCAAAATTCATCGCATTTAGACAAGGGCTGCGGGCTCAAATCCCAGCTCCATTGACCTGATTTTGCACTGGGACAGGGACATCAATGGATTCATTGCTTGCCTCCTTGTGTTAAACTTTGGTGTGTGATTGTCTATTTCGTAAAACAGAAATAAACCCATGCTCTAACCTCATAGCAGATTGATGGGAGGTGAATTTTGCACAATGAAGGAGACAAACGCGTACTATGGATGCGTAATGGTGACTAGCGCAATCGAACTGAAAATGATTCTATCATCTGATGATCTCCACACGAATTAGGGTGACTGCCTTGAGGCAACGATTACTATCAGTTATTTTGACATTGTTGATCATTAAAGGAATGCTCAATAATGCCAAAACCACTTGCTCATATCTCATGATTATCACGAGTGTATTCGTAAACTTCACGGAAATCCGGTGGAATAACCGAATCTCCAAAAGCTTCCTTGTGAACAGTTGACGGCTGATGCACACAAACGCGGGCACACAAATGGAAAGCTATACCTAACTTGCTTCCGGGGTTACTTTGTTTGTCGCATACCTGATATCGTCGATTAGCATAATGTATCCAATGAGTTTGTGTTCGTACCAAATAACCGCTGTTCTGGCAGGCGGATGAATTCAATCGGCTGTTTCGGCACCATCGATTGCGTGACCGCCTTCTGGATTTTAGTCGGGTTTTATGCATTTCATTTTTCCCTGACAACCATATTGCAACATTTGTCAGCTACCTCAAAACGGGCCACGAATTGCGGCTTAACTGTTGTAGATTACATTAATATGATCATTTACTATAAATCAATTATGAGAAGTTTAATGTAGTTGGGTGATTTTTTTCAATATATCATAAATTGGTTATGAAATAAAATAGTGATAAATCAATTACGGTCGCTATCAGGCTAGATTTAAGTCAAAATTAAGATGCAGAACCGACATTGCGTGTCCGCAACGAACATCCAAGGATTACTGGATCCCGCAATTCCATTGGGTGAGCTGTAGATTACGACAACCGTAAACATGAAGTTCGGACCATCTGTCGTATTTACAAGACCTCTTTACTTTCTACTGGTCGTCCCAATAAAGTGTAAAAATTTACAAAACAGTGATAAAGTGACTATTGAATTTGTAACAGAAATTTTACGAATTGTTCACTAGTACTGTTCGGTAGTAGAAATACTGTTGACAGTCCCCAGCTGCAGCCGTAAACCAGACTTAATACGAAGAAAAATCCGAGATGCTCTCACCTTCTGTTAGCTCCATCAAGTAAGTGTTCCTAACTAAGACCACATTGGAGGCTATTCAATTTGTATATCAGAAGTGACTTTTTGAGACAGTTAATGGGACTGATAGTTAAAGGTACAAGAACTACTAAATAGCTATGCTGTTTTTTGTTCCGAACGATGTTGACTATTCAGATATTCATCACTTACTGATGAACCTTATGATGTTCCATTTCTTAATATTACTCAGATGGAAGCGAAAGTGTGAATGTAGTGTGTATGTGTGTGTGTGTTGGTGCACATACAAGGATATGATAAAATCAGTTTGTTGGTTGATTGATTTGCTTTTCTCCATGGTTCTGATATGTGGATCGAGAAAATCTGAACACCTCAAATAGAAAACACTGGAAAGGTTTGTTCAACACATTGCCTGAATTAACTTCGATCGGTTGACCGAGTGTAATTTACTTCGATGTACAAAGTGCTTCTATGCATATAATGGCCAAATCCGGGCGCACTCAGTGATTGTTGAACTTCATAGGAAGTGAATCATGCTGAACTCTGTGCCTTACGAGGCCATTAAAACTCAGGAAATTCAGTGTTCTGATTACGACGTGACATTCGCGACAGCTGATCTGCACGTAGATAACATCTATTAAAACTTGACGGACAGAACCGTTTTGTTGCCAAATTGCCTAGATTAAAAAATAACCAAATGGATCAACATGATTCAGCTTACGCGTGAAAGCATGTGACTCTTACATTTGTGAATTTAATGAGAGATGAGATTGGACAACTTTGTTTTCCGATTTCCTTCCATTTGAATAATTAATAAGCTCTTCTTGTCTCCTCCTTGTGTATTGCGTGTATAAAACCTATTGCTTGAAGGATCAGCTGCCGAACACAAGAATTATTTCATCCGCGAAGAACAGTTTGATCCGAACTGCATCTCTCCAGTGAAATTAATTGGCAAAATCCATTTGGTACATGATCTCAAGCAGACTGTTGTGAATCAACAACCGGTTCTACTTTCTGGCAACTTGTGTGTTCTCCGAAGAACGCACAAACACTAACACATGTCCGATACTTCGAATTCCGGAGGAGGTCTATAAAATTGCATATAGGGAACTGGTTTAAACAATGACTAATAACTGGCATTCCTGCCG